TTCAACAGTTGTTCATTTGGATGATATTCAGGTTGATGATCGCATGAACTATGTTGAGAGACCAGTGGCAATTTTGGATAGGAAGACGAAGGCCTGGCACAACAAGGTGGTATCATTGGTCAAGGTTCAGTGGCAACATCAGGAGGGTTCCGAGTGGACCTGGGAACCCGAGGCTGAGATGAGAGAGCATTACCCAGAGTTGTTTGCAGCAACGGACTTTGAGGAGGAAGTCTGATTCAAGTGGGGGAGAATTGTAACATCCAGATTCTTGGAGGTATTTAAACTTAAGGTATTTTGGATTTTGGGCGGGACCACGTCATGGTGAAGGCATCCCACGATGTGGTGATGGTCGATGTATCACAAATTTTAAATGACCGTCATGGCGTGAAAGCTTATGGCCACGACATGGCGGTTATTTAATGAGAAACTCTAATATTTGGGGTTTGCGTCCCTATTTAAGGAAATGTTATGGCTAGGGTTGCTCACCCTCAACCCCCATCACATTCTCTCATCCTCCAAGCAAACCCTAACCTCCATTTTTACTCTTTAAGCCTTTTGTGTTGATTTTTGGGGATTAGAAGAAGAAGAAGGTGTCATTTGGACATGGATTCAGCAAGCAACTATTCTCATCATCTTGTTGTGCATCTTCTAGATTCTTGTTAGTCCTCAAGTTCTAAGCTTTTGGGTTTTTGTGCATAGATCTAGGTTTCTATGCCTTATTCTTCATGTTGGGACTCATTAGAGTGTTGGGATTCCATAAAGTTGCCAACTTTATGGATCCCCAGAGTCCCTTTTGTGGTTAGGAGTGTTAGATCTGGAGTTTTATATAGTTTTGAACTCTTGCATGAGATCATGGCCCCTTTTTACTCTATTTGACCAAGCTTGAGCTCAAGACATGCATTAGACATGCATTTCTATGAAGCAATGATTTTATGGTCCATTGGATGAGAGAATGCCATCTGTGAAGATTGAATGGTTGGTTTTACAGATTAAAAGCTTATTGGATTAAGTTGCTCTGAACATTCACCACGACATGGCGAAGGGTTCACCACGACGTGACAGATGGCTGCCTTGCCACTGATTTGTCCTGTAGTCTCTATGGCGTGGGTAGAGGCTAGCCACGACGTAGCAACTGACTAAGTTGACTTTTGACCAAGATTTTGACTTAGGGGTATTTTGTGTATTTTGAGTTGTCGTTTGAGACTAGGCAATTGTTTTTTTGTATAGGTGGATTGTAGAGTTAGCAGTTCGAGCCACGATCTGTTCAACTATCCTTTTCAAATTATGAAGTGAGTTTTCCTCACTGTACTTGTTGGTCGAAGGCACCAATGTCAGCCCACTGGATTTTTATTTTGGCATATTGGATTGATGGTATGTTGGTTATAAGATATATTGGTAAATCTGTATGATCACCTGAGTATGCGTTAGATTGGTAAGTCTATATGATTACTTGTGTGCTGATTATTGATTATTATTGGATATGACTACAAGGTACTTTCTCAGCTAGAGCAGAAGTGGACGAACAAAACTTTGCTAATGTAGGATCAGTTACTTCTAAACAGTCTATTGACTCCCAAACAACTACATTTGTCCATGAATTCCCTTCTGCTTCACCTTGTGGCCTATCACAGACAGCTACGGAAGTTGCTAGCTACCTTCTTCCCATTCTTTTGTTGTCTGAGTCGGAATGTTATGGTTTGTTGGGTTGGGACGGTCCTGCTTTAAGTGTTGAAGGCCAAGATACCAAGGGCAACCCGGATAGACTGAAGACCTGCAAGGCGGTCCAGTCAGGCCGAAGGCCCGGAGAGCAGTCTAGGTATGTTGCAGGCCTGCGAGGTGGTCCTGTCAAGCTGAAGGCTCATATATGCATGTTGTTATCTGCTTTATTAGTGTGTGGTACTTTGGGGGAACTCATTAAGTGTTGGCTTATGGTTTAAGTTTTATGTTTCAGGTACTTCAGATGATCGTGGGAAAGCAAATGCGTGATCGTGCACATCCTCCTAGTTTTATGTTATTGGATTCTGGAGATACTCTGATTTGTGATTACTGCTTTGGAGAACAATGTTTTGTAAAAAATTATGGTTTTTGGTTGGGTTTTAAAAATGAAAATGTTAGCTTGATTTTTGGGATGTTACAGCAGTAGTCATATGTTGACTAGCTCTTGAATCAACAACACAGTTACTGTTACTAGAGAAAACATTATTACAAGTTATACCTGCCATATTGGCATTGGCAGTCACATCCTCAGGAAACTGTTTTCCACTTAAGAGGGAGATGATCTTAGAGTACTAATCAACAGTAATAAAGTGTTGATCAACCTTATCCATAGAGCATGTAGAGGGACTAGAAGACTCATTCACATGTGAAGCAACAACAAGAACATTGCTTGAAAACTTGTTAGTACTGTTAAAATCATTCTTAGTTTTAAAATTTTTTTGGAAACCCAATTAACTTGTAACATCTCTCAATGATATGACCTTTGAGACCACGATGTTCATATTGAAAAACTTGATTTCTTCCTTTAGATTTTCTAGAATCGTTGATTTTACCTATAAAAGTAGAAGACTGAGTCTGATTAGAAGTCATAGTTATAAAACCATGCTTCTGATTAGACTATTCTCTAGATACAATTGAAAAACAGTTTTCACATTAGGTAAAGGGTCAAGAAGTAAAATACGACTCTTGACTTGACTGAAAGAGTCATCTAAACCACTAAGAAATTGCATAAGTTTCATTAATTTGGAATTATTATTAAACTGAGTTGCAGCTTCACATGTACAATCAGTTAAATTGGTAAGGCCATCAAATTCCTTCCAAAGGGCATCAAGTTTGTTAAAATAATATAAAACACTTAAACCAATTTGAGTAAGAGAATTAATACACTGATGTAGTTTAAACACAACAAATCCATCAGCTTTATTATAGGTATCAAACAACTCAGTCCAAATATCAAGAGCAAATTCCGAAGAAGCATGTCCTACACATATAGACTCAGACAAAGACCATAAAATCCAAGAACAAACAATAGCATTTACTTTGTCCCACTTAAGAGACTTAACAGGATCATTCTTCTGTTTAACAATAGTACCATCAACAAAACCAATTTAATTTCGAACCTTCAGAGCTCTAGTCATAGAGCTCCTCCGGATCCTAAAATTTTCAGTTCCAAGAAGTTTAAATTAATAATATTGGTAACTGTATTATCAGAATGATGCAAACAAAGAGGATCGTCAAAATCAATAGGATTAATTTTACCAGATTCTCCAGTTTGAGGAGTAGGAGTAGGACCAATCATATTAACAAAACAAGAAGTAAAACAAACATATCAGATAGTGATATACAAAATTAAAAAAAAAAAGATCACAACAAGGATGCATAGAGAAAGAACACCAGGACCCAAACAAAAGAGATAAAACGTGTGTGACTTACAGTAATCCAATAAAGCTCTGCAAACTGCATAGTAGTTTCGCTAGATAAAGAGATCTAACATTGAAGTAGAACGATATCCAAATGGCAAGAATCGCCCTTGTTTATAGAACTCATTTGCACGAGTTTAGTGTTGACCGAAGAAGCTTGGTGTTGGCCGCTAGGATAATAACAATTACCATATGTGTTTACTGCCGAGCTCTTGTTTACTACTAAACAGCGTGACAATGAACTACCAGAGATGACAACACCACTAAAAACGATCTCACAAGAGACGAATACCTTCAATCAGGCAGACGCGGTGATCAAAGATCATCAAAAACAACATGAACGATGAGCAGATCTAGGGAAACTATAGAAACCTTATATCAATCAACAAAAAACTTGCAAAACACGACAAAACCCTAGAACGTTCAAATGAACGGATGATCTAGACTAGACGCAGAATAACACGAACTCAAGAACAAGACGAACAAGATGAACCTCACTCTGATACCATGAAAAGAACACAGAAAATTGACAACATTAACAAATTTTTTTATTGATGATAAGAATCAATTGGTTTTGCAAGATACTTACAATAGGAAACCTCCTTACGAAACTCTCAATCACTCAACCTAAACTATACAAGAACAACGATTACAGGAAGAAGACAACATGAACAAACCCTAAAAGAAACACTAATCGTATGAGAGAACAACGAGAGCAAAATGTGAGAGAAGACTATGTGTTATGAGAACTCTCAGCACAATAACACATTATATATCATGGGTCATACACCGGGTATGGATATAACACGCGTGTCCGCATGTTCCACATCTTTGAGTGATACGAGCCGCAACCTATCTAAAAGAAAGATTTAACAAGAATCACCCTCCTATAACAATTCTTCACAAAAGAGAACAATATACACAAAAATAAAAAATTATAATTAAGTAAAAAGTAAACAAGAAGGATATGTGAAAAAGGATATAACAATGAACAATGAAAAGTTTGAACAAAGATGCTACATAATTCAACAGAAGGACAAGACAAAATGGAACCACAAAATAAAGTCCTACGAAACAATAAAAATAATTCATGTAATGCTATTCAACCCATTAGCACTCCAGTACGAATTAGGCATGTGATGATTTCATCTTACGAAATGTTGGGGCTTATCAAAAGTGTAACATGTCAATTTCATGTTGGGCCTTGTGTGCCATGGCAAGCCCAGCCCATCCCAAGCTATGAGAAGCTCAATACCTTTAAATAGTATAGACGACATTTCATCAAATCTTGAAAGCATTTTGATGAAAGTTCCAAGTTTCCACTGGACCATAGATGACCATGTTATGTTAGTGAGATATAGAATAGGGCAAATCGCAAAGAATAGAAACGCACTATACTCTCACTACCAATATGGGTTATGTACTTTATCTTTTTACCAATAATAACAACATAGTTGTATTATTTACCCGTAATGGCAATGTACTTGCCTTTTTTTCACCAATAAATAATGCCAATGTTACTTTACTTTTTGCCCATAATGTTGGGTACAAGAATCATACTAAGAATCAAATTTAACCATATTATGATTCAAATTTACCAAGTATTACAAAATCAGATTAGTAAACCAAGGCACAAATACCAAAAACATCAATTCCTTTACTAAATCTAAGTTCCTAATTAAACAAGATAGATAAACTATAGGGAAAAGACACTAACTTAACACTATGAATGGGAAGATTATAGAATATAACAATGTACATACAAGACAGAAAAACACAATCAAAGGTCAAGATCCTAAGATCGCCTACGCTCAACCGAATCCGAATCACGATCCGGAGACCATTTTTTCTTGTTCTTCCAAAACTCATCCTTTTTCGCTTTCTTCTTAATCTTAACCCAACCCAAATTACTACTAATTATCCCCATAATCGCACTCTTATCCTTCTTATTCTTAGTCACAGCCTTCACATCCAAAATCGCCCTTAACTTATGATACGATTTCGCATCCGGCACTTGCCCACTTTTCACCATTTGTTTATGATAATAAAACGCCCTCTTAAAATCCCTAACCCTAACATACGCATAAATCATAGTCGAATAAGTAATCGAATCCGGTTTCAACTTAAGCACCGCCATCTCCTTCAACAACTGTGGCAAATTACTTTCACGCCCTCCACGAGCATATGCATTTATCAACATATTATAAGTCATAACACTCGGATGCAAACCAATCTTCCCAAATTCAAATATCACATCCCGAGCCTCACTATACATTCCTTTTTTAGCAAATCCATCAACAAGAATGTTGAATGTCACACGCGTTCCTTCGATTTTATCACGGATCATATTTTTCCAAATTCCTGTTAAAGATTCGGCATCACCCGCACGTCGAAATGCATCGAGGAGAGCCGTGTAGGTTTCAATTGACGGTTTTACCCCTTCACGTAACATGTTTTGGAACGTGAGATCGGCTTTTTCATGCCACCCCGTGATTGAGTACGCGTGGATTAGAGCAGTGTAAGAATGTGATGTTGGTTTTATACCGAGTTTTTTCATTTTCAAGAACGCGTTAGCAGCTAAATCGCTTGATTTTTGACGCCCATAAGCACTAATTAAACATGTGAATGATTTAACATCGGGGTGTAAACCAGTTTCTTCCATTTCGATCATGAGTTTTTCAATTACTTCTGGTTGCATTCTTCGACTGTATGCATCGATTAAAATGTTGTATGAGGCTGTGGTGGGTTGGATACCTTTGGACTTCATTTCTGCAAATAGACCTTCGGCTTCTTGAATTTGGTTTGATTTGCTGTATGCATTCATGATTGTGTTGTAGATGATTGCATTTGAAGCGATTCCTTTTTTCTCCATTTCTAATTGGATGATTAGGGCTTCTTTCTTTAAACCCTCGTCACAGAAGGACTTTATAAGAGCGCCCATCACTTCTAAACTCCATTTTAGTCCTCTCATGTTCAACATCTCAAAAAACTCCCATGCATCTTTGGCACTGTTGCCTTTTCTTCTCATGATTGTGATCATTATTGAACATGTGACATGATCTGGTTCTATGTTGTGGGTTTCCATCATCTCAAACAATCTCCAAGCGTCATCATACCTAAAAAAACCCAAAATTACAGTATAAAAAAGAAAAACCCAAAATCTATTCTATGCTATGAAACAATGAATTTAGACAAGAAAAATGAATACCTTCCACAAACAGAAAGGGCTGAAATCGCGGAATTATATACATGAACTTGCTTGAATTCGATGGAATTTGGTAAATTATTGAATAAAATCATTATCTTGTCACCCATTTTAGCTCTTCCTAACACAGGAAACAAAGCTGTATACGCCCAGGGTGTAACCAATGAAGGCTCTTGTAGATTCATCCATTCCAAGAAATATAAACTACACATTGTTAATCCCTCTTCCTGACCCATCAACCCTAGCACTTGTACACAATCTCTTTCACTTAATTTCCCTTCAAACGGAGCTAAAACCTCACCCAAAGTCACATTCTCGGGTAAATTCCTGGCAATTTCAAGAAGTTCGTTGATAAAATTACTTCCATTGCTAACCTCATTCACAAGCGCCCCGCTTTCTTCATATTCTGTTTCGGATTCAGTAATATTGATATCTGGGGTTCCGTGTTCTTCTATTTCAGATTCAGGTTGTTCAGGTTCGGTGTTGGTGATGGTGGGGGAGAGATGCCAGGAAGAGCGGCGGTTTTTCTGGAGAGTGAATTTGCCTTCGAGGGGAGGGTCTGGGTTTTGAGAAGATGTTTGTAATTTGAAGAATTTATGAATTGGGTCAGTGATTGATTCATCTTTTTCGGGTGGGGTTTCTGTATGTGAGTTGTTTTGTTCTTGTTCTTGTTCTTGTTCTTGTTCTTGGAGGAAAGGAAGGAAGATTGAGACGGAAGAAGATGGAGGAGGGTTTTGATTCAAGGGAGAAACAGCAGAGATTCGGACGCGTTTTTTGAGCCTAGATTGAAAGGTTTCATGGAGGTGAAACCGAGAGGAGGAGGGTGAGAGACCGAAGAATGTTGAGGGTAAAGAATGGTGGTTGAGGCAGACGGACATTGTTTTCTCCCAGCTTAGAGCTCCGCTTTCTGATGCTGCATTCAGAAGGGCAACTCCAACAATTTGAAAGATGAGAACCGAAAACTGTTTACCTACAACACATACATTCGAAGGATATAACCGTTAGAAACCAAGAATGTTGAAATAATATCAAAATGATGTGTGTGTGTGTTATATTCATTCCATAAAGTAGTTTTCTGAAACAAGTCTTTTGTGTTATTCATGGATGATGTATCAATTGATACCGCACAATTTAGAGCTCACAAACCTGCGTCGTTTCTTCTCTTCGTCATCAGCTGATGACGATTTCAGTGTGGGTTTAGTGAGGGGATTTGGGGGTTATTTAGGGTTTTAAGCTGATAGAAGAACACACAAACACACACATACACAAAAATAGATGAAATCGCATCTATAGTTCTATATACCTTATGAATTCGGTTTCACCAACAAATCAAAACACTGGATTCGATTGTGATGAAATCGATTCTGTAGAATGCCGATTACAACCTTCCAAACTGCACTTGATTTTGTTTTTGGATTGTCTTTGCAATTTCCAATGATAAAATAGGATGCGAGATTCACGGGACTAGCTGTCACGTTGCTTCTTCATTGATGATGTTTGGGTGGAGGGAAAAAGGAAACTGGATTGTGACGGTGGGTAGCGGTGGGAGGCGCAGTTCTTAAGAAATTGGAAGGCGGTGGTTAAGGGCAGTGGTGGAATCAATAGGTAAGGGCAGAGGAGGTAGTATCCATGGACGGTTCAGAGGGGCGCTTAGAGTCTCTCAATTGGTAAGAAGCAAAAATGCTGTAAATCAAAAACGATGTAAATCAAAAACTCCATGCTAATTATTATTAGAGATAATTGCAAATTTAGTCAAATACATTAATTATTTTATGGAAAATAGCAAAAAAAAAAAAAAAATTGCAAATTTAGCCACTTAAATCATAGATGGAACCACCCCATCTGCGATTTTGCCTATCTATTTACGAATGTACAAGTAACTAAAGCACAGCACAGACGTGCTTTAGCCACTTATACATTCGCAGATGGTTTATTAATTTTTTTTGTATATATATATAGGCTTTTCCAAGCTAAAATCGCAGATGGACTATGTCCATCAGCGATTTCCTCTCTCTTTTATTTGCGATTTTATTGGTTTTTTATGATTTTTTTTACTATGAAATCAATGGGTTTGACTACGAAATAACTTTATTATATATAAACTTTTGTAAATAATTATCAGTTTACTTGTTATTTCTTTAGAAAATTTCTGTAAAAATCTCTCTAAAAAATGATTGAATATTTGGTTTCTCTTGTAACTGGTGGGAGATGGCAAGTTAGTGAAACAAATCTGGAATACACGTATGTCCACGGGGAGGTATTTCCTGAATTCGCTTTGATATTTTCTGAGTATATTAATTATAGTGAGTTTATATCTTTGGTGAGAAGCAAAATTGGTTTGTTAGACAAATATAAAATTAGTCTTCGTTTCCATGATCCTGAATTGAACCCTTATATAGCCATGGTTGAAGACATGGATGTTAGAATGTTGATAAATGTAATTAAACGTAGTGGATGAAGGGCTGTGAAGGTGTTTGTGGTGGTTGATGAAGGAGATGAGGTTAATGAGGTTAGCGAGAGTGGAAATCAGCCGGTTGCTAATTTATACAGCTATAAAGGGAGCAACGATCTGATAGGTACTTTCAATACTCCTAGTGTACCTCAATTTCACAGTGTTGCTGAAAATGTTAATGTTAGTTATTCACCTATTCACTATGTGGATCCTGAGAATTACAAGTATGTTGGTGATGATGATGTTGGTACATATCTTAATGACGTTGGTGGTGTTTGTGTTGATGTTCCCGAACAAGAAGTTAAAGTTTTGAATAGGCGTCTAGTAGATAAAAGTAAAAAGAAAAAAGTTATGACTAAAAAAGATGAAAAAATGCATTTTTATGGAGATTATGTTGATGTTGCTAATGTAGCTTTAGATATAACCGACTTACAAAGCAATTCAGATGGATATGAGTTGGGTGATGAAGTTAAAGCTAAGTTTCTCGATAACCTTTTTTACGGTATGCCCCCTGTACCAGGATGTCCAGTTGATATTAATGAAGATATCCCAACACAGATGGTAGACATCAATCTTCAAAAGATTGAATGTGAGAGTATATTTAACAGCAAAGAACTTCTAAAACGGGCTATTGGGAAAAAATGTCTTCGAGAAGGTTTTCAGACGAGGACAAGTAGATCCATCAAATCAAGGTATGAGGTTGTGTGTGTTTCGAAAAATTGTTCTTGGTTACTAAGAGCAAAAGGAATTAAAAATTCAGGTGGACTTTTCCAAGTGAATAAATATGTTGATGCACACATGTTCTTCAACAATTTTGCAACCTAATCATCGATAAGCAAATAAATATGTTTTGGGTGAATATCTTGCTGATGTTTTGGCTGAAGATTATAGTAGAGTTTATCGGGGAAAAGATATTATTAATGATATGAATGCTCAATTGAATATCAATATCTCATACCATCAGGCTTGGCGTGCGAAGCAATATGCATTGTTGTTGTTAAGGGGTACGAAAGAGGATTCTTTTACCAAACTTCCGGCTTATTTCCACAATTTGGTAAAACATAATCCGGGTACGGTGACACATATTCAAACAGATGGTGATGATCGCTTTGAGTTTTTGTACGTCGCACTTGGTTGCTCGGTTAGTATTTTAATTTATTATTATTATTAATATTTTTATTTTGGTGTATTTGAAAAGATATACAATGTATTGTAGGTACGCGCTTTTGTCAATTTTTGTAAACCGACCCTTGTGGTAGATGGAGCCCACCTAAAGGGCGAGTTCAAAGGTACCATGTTACTTGCAGTTACTAAGGACGGACAAAACCAAATATTACCGGTTGCATATGGTATATGCAAAAGTGAGTGTACAGATTCTTGGACATGGTTTTTTCAAAAACTACGTGATTGCATAGGCAATATGGAGGAGCTTACAATTATATATGATAGGTCTCCATCAATAGTGACATCCGTTGCCAACATTTTTCCTCACGCTCATCACGGAATATGTGGTGTCCATTTGTATTTCAACATAGTATCTAGATTTGGGAAGAGTAAGACAATTAAAGAAATTTTTTGGGAGGCTTGTAGGGCGTATACAGTTAGGGATGAGCATATGGACCGGGGAACCGGCCGGAACCGGTACCGGAACCGGAACCGGCACCGGAACCGGAACCGGCACCGGAACCCGATGGAACCGGCCGGGCCGGGACCGGGACGTTATTTTTGTGGATTTTTTGAACCGGGAACCGGTAGGAACCGGAACCGATATAACCGGCAAAAACCGGAACCGTATGATGCTATTTTTCGAGGACCGGTTCCAACATTTGAAGACACGACAAGAACCGGTAGGAACCGGGAACCGGTAGAACTGCCGGGCCGGTTCGGTTCTTGATTTTGGCCGAAGCCGGTTCCCGGGTCGGGTCCGGTTCCGGCCGGTTCGGTCCTTTTGCTCATCCCTATATACAGTTGATGCTTTTGACGCTGCCATGGAAGTTATGAAAAAGACAAAAGAACCAGTATGGGAATACTTAAAAAGTATAAATCCAGAAACTTGGTCTAGGGCACATTTTAGAGGGAACCGATACAATCTTATGTCGTCTAACAGTACGGAGTCTATAAATGCATTATCTAGACACGCACGTAAGGTGTCGATACTTATGTTGATCGATTTTTTTCGTGCAACAATGCAACAGTGGTGGTTTCAAAGACGTAACTTTGCAGGTATCAAGTTAATTTTTAATATTAATGTTTTATTAAATGTTATTGATCTTAAGTTTTTAATTTTGTCTATTTTTTAAGCGGAAGCAACAACAACACTCACCCCTTGGGCCGATGATATTGTAAAAGAAAACAAAAAAACTTGTAGTAAGTGGGATGTTCGCATGATCTCAAATACGAAATGCGAGGTCAAAAAGGGGGCACAAAACGTGATTGTTGATTTCCAACAAATGCATGTACATGTAGGCATTGCTAACTTGATGGCATACCTTGTGGTCATCTCATAAGATGTTTAACAGTCAACAATTACCAAGACTGCTCGAGGTATGCATTAAATGCTTACTTTACCGAAACACTGATGAAAACGTATGAGGAAACAGTAAACCCTTTGCCAAAGCCATCCTAATGGGAGATCCCCGATGATTTGATGATTGTTAAGCCACCTATAATGGATAAACGTCAGCCAGGCAAGCCAAGAAACACAGACGCATTCCATCCCAAGGCGAGGGTCCAATTAGAAAAAAGTGTTCTACATGTGGTCAAGTAGGACACACGAAAAACAATTGTACTGGAAGGGCGTCCGGTAGTGGAGCACGTCGCACGACAATTTCTACTACGGAAATGACATTTAATATTGGTGGTTCTGCGACTTGCTCACAAACCTATGACGCCGATTTTGATATAAAACAACCTTAAAATGAAGAGTTGTTAACTTATTTTGTATTGTAATGTTTTTATTAAATCTTATAAGATGTTATGGTCTCATATTTTAGTTAAGTTTGCAGATTATAACAACTAATGAAGCTTTTAGATTATAATATTTCGTTTGCAGATTATAACAACAAATGAAGCTTAACGGTAAAAAAAAAGATGTTAATAAAAAAAAACCAAACTCAACTCATGACAATGTTACAACAATTTTTTAACTAATTATTAAAGTCAGGGAACTGCAATGGGTACTTCTCTTTCTCGATTGTTATATAGTCATCCCTAATTCTCATTTTATCTTCAGAACGATCCTTTTGTACCCTAAGCTGTATCATCTGCGTGTCCTTCTCAGCAAGCCATTTTTCAGTCATTTTGATTGTCTTCTTGGTCTTTTTTATCCATTCTTCATGCTCTTTGATTTTGTTTTTATTGAGGTCTATCCATTCTTGATCTTGTTTGTATTCCGATGCAATTTCATTACGACGTTGACTAAGAAGTTGGGATGACTCTTTATCCTGTTCTTGTTGTTCTTCAGCCTTTTTCAATTCTGCAAAATTTTCATCCGACATATATGGTCCTGCTGAAGAGGGTGTAAAAAAAGGGTCGACTGCATCACAGTAGTAACAATCTACTTCGTTGCATGAGCAAATTTCGAAAATTTGTGAGGAACTCATAATAAAGTCGCGATTTTAATAAAATGGTGCTATAAGTGGTATTTATACATACTAGTTGTGACAACCCGAAACTTTTTCTGTTATCCTTACCCAGTTTCCGTTAATAAAACTTGGGTT